TGAAATGGACCAAAGAGACAGTATAGCAGGTGGGGCACTTGCCTTGCATGTGACAGACCCGGGTTCAATCCCCAGCATCCCATATGGTCCCCCAAGCACCACCTGGGATGATACCTGAGTACAGAACCAGGAGGAAGCCCTGAGCACCACTGGGTGTGAACCCCCACCCCCCCCCAAAAAGAAAACAAGAAAAGAAAGAAAGCAAAAGAAAACAAAAAGAGAAGTCACTGGATGTTTCAGTTTTGTAAGTTACTTTATAGAAAGTGCCACATCTGCGTGTCATCGGTGAGGGAGTTCTGGGGTAAGGAATATCATAAGAGCGACAGGCAGCCTGATTTGCCCTGTGGCTCTTTTGTCTCAAAATGCATGCACAAATATGACAATTTCACACATGAAATTAATTCCGTGCAAATGATGGGTTCCCACATTAATTTAATTGCCAATCTTGCCATACGTGTATAATTTCCATCCCAATTAAAATCAGAAAATGGGTGGAGCCCGCAGTCCACACTGAGCATGCCTCACTTGTAACTGCTGGTCCCCAGGTGGGACTCACAAGTACCCAAAGGTCTGAGTTTCCGATGGAACGTGGAACAAGCACCTATATCAACCGCCTGCCTGCGTCTGCCCCACTTCTCCCCTGGGCACATGTTTTTAAGGGGCTTGCACCAAGGCAATGGCAGCCTATTCGAAAGCCAGTCTCTCCGCTCAAAGAAAGATTTTTCAGGGAGCTTCCTGATTAAAAACAAAAGCTGCCTTTGCCACGAAAGGAGATCAGTATTTCTTTTTTTTTCTTTTTTTTTTTAAATTTTTTATTTTTCTTTTTTTATTAGTGAAACACCATGAGGTACAGTTATAGATTTACAATTTTTTGTGCTTGGGTTTGATTATACAATGATCAGATACCCATCCCTCCACCAGTGCCCATTTTCCACCACCATGGATAATATCCCCCCACCCCCATCCCCCCATCCCCCCCTGCCTCTGTGGCAGGGCAATCCCCTGTGTTCTCTCTCTGAAAGGAGATCAGTATTTCAAGTCAACTGGAGGGAAACCAGGGAGCTCTGATCTTCCTGACATTTGGAACTGGTTAAGCAGTCATCTAGAGAGAACGGAGGGCAGAATCCAAAAAAAAAAGAGAAAATAAAATAAACCAAGGAGGGACGGGAGCAATGGTATACTGGGCAGGGCTCTTGCACCCGGCGACCAGCCCAGGTTCGATTCCCACTTTCCACGGCACCCCGAGCACCGCCAGGAGTAATTACCAAGTGCAGAGACATAGGTAACCCCTGAACATCCCTGAATATCACTGAGTGTGACCCCAAAAAGCAAATAATAATAATAATAATTTTTTAAATATTTAAAAAATAAACCAAGGAGCAGCTCCCGTTCTGGGTGAGGCCTGGCCAGGCCCCCTTTCCATCAAAGACCCCACAGTGAAAGAGAGGCCATCGCAGAGCCTGGAAGCCCAGTCCCACCCCAGAATGCTGGCCTACCCGGACACCCCAAGAAGGCAGGACAGAGGAGCTGAGTTTGGGGGCTCCACAGCCTTGCCTCTCCTGCCTCTGTGACACAGGCTCGTGCATTTCTCAAAAACGCCAGTAGGCAGTGGTCTGCAATAAGTGGGATCACTTACAACAGGCTTGGTTCATTTTTTTCTTTTTTTGTGGGGAGGCCACACCAGACAATGCTTACTCCTGGCTCGGTGCTCAGGGTTCACTCTGGGGCTGTTCACTCCTCGGTGCTCAGAGGTCACTCCAGGTCCAAGGGGCCATATAGGTGCGGGAGATTGAACCTGCGTCGGCCATGGGCAAGGAAAATGCCCTCCCCACTGTGCTATCTCCAGCCCCACAGGTTTGTTTAAATACCCGTTGGCCTTGGGATAAAAGCATCAGTCAAACACTTCTGCAATTTCCCTCCTGCTCTTGGGACATCAGCCGGGCTTTTCTCCTACAGAAAATGCAGCGAAACTCAAGAAGGTTCTTGGAAAAAAAAAAAAACAACCAACCAACAGGTTTATCTCCCCAAACCCTTTCTCTTCGGTGGGTGGGTGGAAGAATTTTACTTTCTGTAACAATATCACAAGTCCTCTCTGCTTAAATTATATTTTTTTATAACCCAGGCATAATTAGAGGCTGAATTCAACTTTCTAAACATTCAACCTTTCAATACTATAATATTTTTTCTTTTGGGAGGTCACACTCAGGGGTTACTCCTGGCTCTGCATTCAGGAGCTAAGCCTGGCAGTGCTTGGGGGACCATATGGGTTGCCAGGGATCAAACCCGGGCTGGCTGCATGCAACGCAAATGCCTTACCCACTGTACTATCGCTCCACCCCACTATCATTCTTTGTAAAACCCATTCATTCCCTGAGCCAAGTCAGAGGCTCAAAGGCCGGACATGCATGATTTGCATGCAGGCAGGACCCCCAGGTCCTGCGTGGTTCCCCAGAAATACTATCAAGAGTAACCCCTCTCCCACATGAAATAATAAAAGCCAATTCCTGGGAGAGTTTCCTTTCATGAAAACCCAAGCAATAAACATTCCCCCAGGGGCCTGGCAATCTTGGGATCAGAACCCAGAAGAAAACAGTCTATAGGCGGGACTTCACCACAGCCTTTTCCAGTATTGGCTACAGTGTATTAGTATTGTATTCCAGGCTAAGAAATTAAATTCTCTCCCAGGAAGAGGCCATCAGTGTGGAAAGGGACATTACCCTCCTAACAGCCAAGAGTCCCAATGGGACAGAACTCAGGAAAGCCACACCCAGACAAGGGTGCGGGGTGAACCCTGGAACCTGTGATCCTACAGTGCACAGCTGAGCATTTAACACACACACACACACACACACACACACACACACACACAACCAGGAGCTCCTGGAAGGCCACCGGGCCTTGCCACAGCATCTCACATCACCCAACACCTGGCCCTACTCTGCATCTATTTATTTTACCCAGAAACAGATCTATTAGCCAGACATTCTCTAAGCACCAGCGGTGCCTTGTGCCTGGCCCAAATCCAAGATTGGTGCCTTGCTGCAGAACGATGCTGTAGGAATATCAAGTGGGCCGTGCCCGAACCGCATGCCTGAAATGCACGTTCTGAGAAAAACTGTCAGATGTGCCCCCCAGACGGAGGGGAGAAGGAGGCTGGCCAAGCCCGGGAGACGAACTTCAGAAGAACCAGCCTAGATGCCACCGAGAATCAGACAAATTTCAGGCAACTCCCTGCTCCTGCTGGACCCCTAAGGCCTTACTGCGGAGCCCAAACAATGCAGGGGTACTGGGAGAGCACCCTGCAAGCCAGCACGTGCCAAACACACAGGCACTCCCCCCAGTGCCAGGCCCCCAGCCGCTCTGAGATGCAGCCTGCTGGGTGGGGGCAGGGAGGGGGGGCAGAGGGGGCGCGCGGGAAACTGAGCAGCCAGTTCCACCGGGGAAACCAAGGAGAAAAGCAGTAACGAGCGCAATAAAACGAAACTGCCCCGCGGCCACGCCGGCCCCGCCGCGCGCCCGGAGCCAGGGGGGCCGCGCCAGCTAACCTGTTCCAGATGAGGCGCGAACTCTCCCCGCCGCGGCCGGCCGGGCCCGGCTTCTTTGTGAGCCTCACCCAGCTTCTTTTGGGGAGGGGTCGAGGGAGGGGAAACACTGCAGGGATTCCCGCTCCCCCCCACCCCCAACAGCTGCCCAGCTCCAAGGGCCACGCTTCCAAATCCAGGCACACGCAAACACACATGCATGCATGCAGGCAGGCATTGCATGCGCGCGCGCGCGTACACACACACACACACACACACACACACACACACACACACACACATCCCACTCCCTCCCTCCAGGGTCTGGCCGGATCACATCTAAAGTTTCCGGAACTCAAATCATAAAACCACCATCAGAAGTTGTTGTTTTGAAATGCTCGCCACAAAGGGGAGGGGGGGGGCGGGTGGGGTGGCGGGGGTGGGGGGGAAATCTGGCTTTAAAAAAAAAAATCAATAAAGGGGGAAAAGCTGCGGGGGGGCGGGAAGGGGGGGAGAGGGGCGGGTAAAGCAACTTTGTTCCCCAGAAAGGCCAGCGTCGGAGAGAGCCGCGAATGGAACTTGGGCGGAGAGGGTGTGTTCGTCTTTGTCACTCCACGGGGTGCGAGCGCCGCGCGTGGGCGAGCCGGGCACTGGGCAGCGCGGCGGCCACCCCCCTCCCCTTCCCTTCCCTCTGCGCCCCCAACGCCCCCGCCCCCAGCGCCCCCGGTGGGGGAACCCCCTTCCCGGGCGGCCCGGGCTGCAGGCGCCAGGCTGGGGAGCGGCGCGGGGTCGCTGTCACCGCGCGGGCCTGCCGCGCGCCGCGGGGAGGGTGGAGGCGAGAGGGGGCGCGCCCCGCCCCGCCGCCCCGCCGCCCGCGATCGGGCCTCCCCCAGCGGGTCGGGGCGCGGCGGGGGTCCCCGGGGCCGGACCCCGCGGGCCGCACACCTGCCCGCGCCCAGCGCCCCGCGGCCCCGCGCGCCCCCCCGCCGCCACCGCATTGTTCCTACCTCGCGCGCCGGCGGCCGGGCTGGGCTCGGGCGGGCACCGCGGCCTCGGCTATTAATACCCGCGGGCCGGGCGCCGGCCGGGCCCTCGGAGGTGGCGCGGGGCGGACGGAGGGCGGAGCCGGCGTGTCCCCGCCCCGCGCCCCCCCCCCCCCCCCCGGCGGCCGGCAGGTGCGCCCCCGGCCCGGCCCCCGCGCCCGAGCCGGGCCACTGGCCGCGCGCTCCAAGCCGCCGGCCCCCGCACCGCCCCCTGCGCCGCTCCCGGGGCTTTAATCCCCCCGGGCCGCGGCCGGCGCCCACCCCGCGCCTCGGCGAATCCCACTGCGGTGCCCGCCCTCCCCGCCGCCTCCCCCACCCACCCGCCCCCAACTCGGTCCCCTGCGGCGCGGGACTGGGACCCCCCCCTCCCCCAACCACCACCACCACCAACACACACCCCGGCAGGGGCGGCTTTGCAGATTTTTTTTTTGGTCACCTTGGAGATTTCCGGAACTGGACGAAGGGGTTCCCGGGAGGCCGGCACCTAAGCGCGACCCAAGTCGCTGTCCCCACCCACCCGGCCCGGAGCTGCGCCGGCCTCTCCACGCCCCTTTCCTGCCGGATCGGACGTGATGGGGAGAAGGCGCGCTTTTCGCTTACCGCGGCTTCCCAGCGACTAGCCCCACCGCGTCCAGCTGGCGAGTGCTAAATATAAATGTCTTCACCATAAAAAAAAAAAAAAGGAAAAAAGAAGAAAGGAAAAAGCAAGCAAATTCTTGGGCGCCGCCCCACCTGATCAGCGTCTCCCGATCAGGAGAATGACCTTCAAATGCATTGCCAGACCCCAGGCCCAGATTTTTCGCGTTCTGCCGGTCTGGAACGGGGGTTCGAGTAGGCTGTGGGGGGCGTGGCCGGGGTGGGGACATACCTGGCGTGCTGGGGGCAGATCCTGTGATTGCTCTGGGGGCCCTATGGTGCCAGGCATCTAACCCAGCTTCCACATCAGCCATTAATTAGCACATCAGCCAGCTCCTGGAATTCTTTTTTTTTTTTTTTTAAAAAAAGGGGGGGGGCGGGAAAAGCCTCTTGGGGAGCGGTGGCACAGCAGAGGTGCTCAGGACTTACTCCTGGTTCTGTACTCAAAGATCACTCCTGGCAATAGCACAGCGGGTAGAGCGTTTGCTTTGCACGCGGCCGACCCGGGTTCCATTCCCAGCATCCCATATGGTCCCCGGAGCACCGCCAGGAGTGATTCCTGAGAGCAAAGCCAGGAGTAACCCCTGAGCATCTCCGGGTGTGACCCAAAAAGAAAAAAAAATCACTCCTGGCTATGCTCAGGGGGTGGGTGCATGGGGGAGCTAGCTGGGTGCACTGCATGCCAGGCAAGCGTCTCTACTAGTCTGCAGTGTTTCTGGAGCTAGAATACCGCAAGTTCATCATTCGCCTTGCACTGGGCCAACCCAGGTTCACCACTGACACCACTTAAGTCCCCCAGCACCACCAGGAATGATCCCAGAGCTCAGAGCCGGGAGTAAGCCCTAAGCGTCTCCTGCTGTGGCACCAAAAACCAAAACAACAAAAACAAGCACACTGGTATTTTATGTTGTTGCTGGTTTTTGGGCCACACCCAGTGGTGCTCAGGATCTATTCCTGGCTCTGCATTCAGGGATCACTTCCGGTAGTGCTCGGAGGATCAGAAGAGGTGCTGCAGCTGCATGCAGAGTAAGCACCATACCCATTTTTTTTTATCTTTCCGGCCCTCACTGATACTTTTCTTAATGAGTTAATTCCAGAAATAGAAAACTGTATCTTTTTAATTTTTTTGTGATACCATTGCTTTGCACAAGTTTTAACTGTGCATCATTTAAAGTCATGTATATATACACGACAAGAAGTTTAGCACTGGAAGTCCAATCCAGCCACACAGCTGGCACCATTCATTCGATTCACCCACTTCCCTTTCCTTCAGTCACCACTAATCTGTCTTCTAGTCTAAATATGTGCTTTTCTTTCTAATTTATTCATTTGCTCATTTCTTCCTTATGGAATACATCAGTGAAATCACCCAGTCTTTGTCTTCATCCATCTAGCTTATCTCATGTAGGATAACAATCTTTAGATCTGATCATGTTATTGCAAGTGTCAGGAGTTCATCTTTTTCATCACTGTGTAGTTTTCCTCGGGGTGTGTAGATAACCTTGTTATCCTTTCACTCATCGGTGGGCATTTCTGTTGTTTCCAACTCCTGGTAATTGTGACTAAGAGCTTTTTTCAGATTTTGACAGGTTCCCAGAGAGCCCTGATAGCGGTTTATATTTTGGAGACTTCAATATCAGGGTAATGGGTCTCAATGTTATCAAAGGCTTAAACTTAAGAGTTACAAACCCTCACCACTTAAACTTCACCCTAGTCAAGTGAATTGGGATTTCTGGTTAGAACCAGGCACCACCCTCTTTCAAAGTCAGGTGTAAGAACCCTTGCTAAGACCATCGGTCTTCAATCACCGGCCCACAGAACAATGCTGGTCCACCAGGGTACAAAGGTCAAAACCACTGGGGTTTATGCCTTTGTTATAACTACTGCACTGTGATGAGGCACACATGCCTGTCCGTGGGTGTGAAAAGATTGTAGAAAGGCTGGAGTGATAGTACAGCAGGGAGAGCATTTGCCTTGCACATACCGACACGGGTTCAATCCCCAGTATCCTGTAGGGTCCCCTGAGTGATCCCTGAGTTCAGCTCTAGGACTGAGCCTTGAGCATTGCTGAGTGTGACTCAAAACCTTTTCTTTAAAAGGTCGAAAAGCTTTGCTTTAGGCGGCATTTTTCAAACGCTATTATACGCTCATTACAAGGCAGACTCGGGCACATGTGCCTGGCCTGGGTTTCTGAGCCTTCCCATGTGTAGCCCCCAGCATCCCTAGGGTGACACCGATGAGGTCTCTGGATTTCCTGACAACTGCTTGGGAAAACCCACCCCTCAAATATGAAAAATGAGAAAAAGCAGATCCTGGAAGGTTCCGACAGCCAAGCCGCTATTGTTCTGGTAAATTCCAAGCTGTTGAGTTTTCTGCAGTTCAGGCTCTCGGCTAGGGAGCAAGCAGGTAAGAGACCTCACAGCTAAAGACAAAAGGCGACAGAAACCACAGAGATTGTGAGAAGTGGAATCAGCTCAGGCACCAGCCTTTCTGGAAGACTTTTTCTTTTTTGTTTGGTGCTGTGGACGGAACCCAGGGTTTCAGCATGTGGGTCCCCAGCTCTGCCACAGAGCCACACCCCCGGGCCCTGGGAACAGACGCTTTCTATGTACTAGAGCGTTTCAACTTCTGTCTCTATAGATTTGTTTTATTTTGCTGTTCAAACACACACACACAGGATCGTAATACACACATGACTTCTGGTGTGGTTTATTAATAGTCCCAAGTGACACTGACTTTTCAAGGAAGTGAAGAGAATGTTTTTGCCAGCAGGGGAAGTGATTACAGAGTGGGGTGAGGGCAGGCTTGGGGACTTGCAGCTGGAAGAAGCTCAGGACTCCCCTTTCAGCTTGCACAGACAGCCTGTGTTTTGCACTTAATCGAAGTGGAAGCCCTTTATAAATTCCTGCCCGGCAGCTGAGGAGATCTGACCTGGGGGTTTGCACCCAGGTGATCATCCCTGTGAAGGAATGTCTGGCTAGCTCTTGGGCTCTCTGAATTTGGCCCTCCTTTCGTCCCCTCTGGCCCTATGAGGTACCATGGAGCGGACCCCAATCCGCGTTGAGGAGTGACATCATTTGTAACTTTCCCTTTTATTCATTTATGTCAGTCACCCTGGGCAACTGTGCATGGTAGCTGACGAAACAGGGGGTGGGGGGGTCTAGAGGGCTGCACGGAGGGGCTTCTCTGTATCCTCCATCCCTCTGTCTTGACTCTTAGAGGTGGCTGACCCACCAGATCCCAGTCTCTCAGTAAATCCTAGCTCAAATCATTTCTAAGTGATCACGTGTCACAGTGAAATAAATCTACTTATACCATAGTCAGTATTCAATAAGTACCTGATTCCATAATGTCTGCCCACTTCACCACCACCACCATCATCATCATCACTACCACTGTTGTCATCAGCAGCAGCAGCCCTGCCAGTACCATCACCATCACCACCAACACCATCACTATCACTATCAGTACCTTCACCATCACTACCATCACTGCCCCCATCAATAGCATCACCATTACCACCATCAATACATCACCAACACCTTCACTACCATCACCATCACCATCATCACCACTGTCACCATCACCACTATCACCACCATCACCACCATCACCATCAGTGCCACCCACCAATACCATCACTACCATCACCACCATCACTGCCACCATCAACACCATCACTGTTACCACCACTAACACCACATCACCAACACCATCACTACCATCACCACATCACCAACACCATCACTACCATCACCACCATCAACAGCATCATTACCACTGTTATCATCATCACCATCAGCACTGCCAATACCATCACCATCACCACCAACACCATCACCATCACCACCATCACCATCACCATCACCACCATCACCATCACCATCACCACCATCACTACCATCACCATCACCACTATCACCATCATCACCACCATTACTGCCACCATCACCATCAACAGCATCACTACCACCTTCAGTACCAACACCACCACCATCACCACCGCCACCATCATCACCATCACCACCTCTCCATCCATCTTTCCCTGTCACTATCACCAAAATCACCACTAAGACTATCTCAACTGGGGCCAGAGCTATAGTACAGTGGGTAGGGCGTTTGCCTTGCACGCAACCCACCCGAGTTCAATCCCTGGCATCCTGTACAGTCCCTCAAGCACTGTCAGGAGTAATTCCTGAGTGCAGAGCCAATAGTAACCCCTGAGCATCAAAGGGTGTGACCCAAAAAGACAAAAGAAAAAAAAAGACCTGTCAGCCACGAGCACCGTCTCTCACTGCCATGTCCAGCATCCACAAGAGTCTCCGGGTTGAGGGCAGCACTCCTGGGGAGGGCAACTGCGCCATCGGTAAACTGAAGGCCCCCATAAAAACCTCAGATGCAGAAGAGGGGACTCGTCTAAAGCCTGGTTCTGGGCCATACTGGCGTGGTCTTGGCATTCCCGGGAGTGGGCAGGGCCTATTGACAGAGCCGCACCCCCTCTGCATCACTGCCATGACAGCTTGCCATGCTGGCTGCCAAACCCAACTTCTGTCCAGTGGGGGTGTCCTTTGGAGGATTCTGCAGGCAAGTGAGAGAAGAGGACCGCCTACAATAGCTCAGGAGAAAAGAAGACTCTTGCCCTGGGGCACCGAGTCCCAGGACAGCCACTCAAGCGAACCCTGAAGGGGCCCGTCCCTGCCACACCTCACAGAGGCAGCAGCACCGGGAGAAGCCTGAACCCTGGGGCCCTGCCAATGGGCTCTGGACTGATGGAAAGTCCTGAGGAGCTGCCATGGCCTCAGCCCTGGTTCACACACCCAATACTACATACGATCACTCCTGGGCACAGTGTGGGCGGCAATAGCCCTTGCATCCCACTGGGTGTGGCCCCAAACGAAAACAATAAAATTAAACTGGG